AGGAAAAGAAAAAGCCCCCATCCTGTGTCATCATTTTTATGGGATCTGCAATTCTGGCAAAAATCTGTCTTTAATTTAGCTGTCCATATAAAAATCCTCACTGTATAATAATGAACAGATGCCATGGAATTTAAGCTGGAGCCTGGGCTCCTCCCCGCCTTCCCCCCCGCGCCTGGCACCGGGCACCGGGCACCGGCTGAGTGGCACAGACTGGCACCAACACACGAGCGAAGGGTGGGCAGGGGGCGACCTGGGCTGCACGCCAGGGCGCTGGGTGGGGCAAGCGGGAGCCCCGCACACCGGGGAGAGGGGCCGAGCCTTCTTCTCTTTTTCTCCAAAATGATCAGGAGCTAAGAGTTCGGGTTTGATTTGGTTTGGTTTATGGGGCTTTGTGGTTCTGATTTTTTTTTTTTTTAATTTAACACCGCCCTTCCTTTCATAGAAACCCAAATGTTTTTGATATTTTAATTGAGTTGTTTCTAGCTCTCCCCCTGAGGCACCCTGGCCTCGCCCGGAGCCGGAGCCGGAGCCGGAGCCGGAGCCGGAGCCGGAGCCGGGACGAGCGAGTTCGCAGCAAGCGGGTTCCCAGCCTCGTTCCTGGTGCGCGCGCCTCCTGGGGCTGCGGCGGCTGCGGCGGCCCGGGCACCCAGCTACCCTGCGGAAGACAGAACCGAGGTGGCATCACCTTGGGTAGTGAGTGAGATGGAGAGAAGCTCCAGCGGCCCCCACCCCAATTCTTGAGCTGTTCCTAAGGGAGAAGGAAAAAAAATACGGAGAGTCGGGTGTCGCCTCCTGCCTCAGCCTTCCGTCCAGAGAGCAGGCATCGATCGGCCTAGGCAGGAGGGGTTGGTTCTGAGCCCCCTACCCCCACCCCTCGCCTTTAATGCGACTCTGGCGAGAACAGATGTCCCAAGCCGGGCGGACTGCCCAGACCCCGCCCAGCTGTGCCCTTGGCAAAGACTTGGCTGAGGGTAGGAACTGGCACGCGGGTTCCCAAAGGGGCTTGGGGGCTTCGGAAGCCCCAGCGGGACCTGACCCCACAGCCGCGGCCTCCTGGCCAGTGCAGCCTCCGGCGGGAGGCGGCAGAGCCCCAGGAAGACCCCATCCTAATTCAATTAATTCCAAAAAGCGGAAGGAGAGAGAGAGGGGGAGAGAGAGAGAGACAGAGGAAGAGAGACAGAGAGAGAGAGAGGCACATACTAAAGGTGTGGAACTAGGTAGCCCTGGCCAGCCCTGGAGACCGAGCAGTGCCCAGCACTAGGCTGGCAAGCAACACCTGGGCGCACATCCGGGCGTCTCCAACCCGAAGCCGAGCCCAGCTCCCTCCGTGCGCTTCCACTGGCGGGTGGCCCTCCCTAACTGGGGAGCTGCGACAGCCCAACTCTGGTGTCGCCCACGCCCTCCCCTCGCCCGCCCGGCCTGCCCGCTGCCCCGTGAGCCCAACCTGGTCTCTGCCTTTCCCCCTGCGCTCCCAGGCTGGGGAGCTCCGAGTCGTGCCTTAGGATGGGAGAGTTCAGCGGGACGGCCTTCGGCCCAGCACCCCGCACGGCACCCACCTTACCACCCCTCAGCTAAGGACACTTTGGCGAGACTGTTTAAAGATGTAGGGCAGAAAGGCAGAAGCTGCTTGGGGATCCGAACAGGGCAGCGTTTCAAGGCTTCCTGTCTTTCAGGTGTCACTGGTGCTCTGGGCTTGTGCCCAGCACCTGATGCCCAGAAAGAAGGAAAGGGCAAGTGCCTCTGGCTGTGGGAGGATGGGTGGGGTGACCTCTGTCCCCGCCCAGTCAGGAGAAGCCAGGCCCGGCCGCGCTGCCCCTTGCTTGTGGCTGGGAGGCTCGGAGCGGAAGCCAAGCCCGAGGCTGGTCAGGTTCCACCTGGGCTGCCTGTCTGTCCCAAGTTTCCTAGAGAACTAGACCATGGCATCTAGAACCACCCCCAGCCACCAGTGCCTCCCCACCATGGCGGAGTCCCCTAGGAGAGGGGACTTCCTATTGCGGGTTCTGAGGGAGAGAAGGAAGCAAAGTTGTGCCAAAGGGAACGAATTCTCTGCCCTCTGCCCACCAGTCGGCCTGCCGCCTTGCCAGTGAAAGGGAGAAAGCGGAGGCGGGCACAGCCCGGGAGTGGCTGGAGCACAGGGCTTCCCCGTCGCTGACCCTCCCGACCCAGCCTCTCCCTGCGCTGTCCCTCGGCTCCACGAGGGTGAAGTCAGAGCTGGGGGTTCGCTGGGGGACAGGGGCTCTCAGTCCAGGTCCTGGCTGGCATGGAGTTCAGCGGTGCGGGCGGAGGCGGCACCAGCGTTCCAGCGTTCCCTTCCTGCCAGATGGGCTACTGGCCTGGACTCAGAGATGGCTCCGAATACCCGAACCCTGGACACCGGACGGGGCCGGGAAATCCTGGGGAAAACCCCTTCCCGACGGAACCACCAGGGGGTCTTCAGGCAGGGGGTGGAGCCCAGCGGCCAGAGAGGGCTTAGAGACCCCGCTGCTGCGGCTGAAGCCCACAGGACGTCTGTCCCCAGAGCCTGCCCCCCCCACCCGTCCCTTCCGCCGCCCCCTCCTCCTGTCTGTGAGCTCCGCCGAGTGTGCGGCCGGCGGGAGCCAGAGCGAGAGACCGGCGAGGGGCGTCTGGGGCCGCGTGTCCACGCAGATCTTCCTCTCCTGCTCATCGCGCGTCTCGCCGGGAAGTTAAGTGTTGGGGGGAGGCTGGGGCGAGGGGGAGCAGCCGAGCGCCGGGGTGGGGGCAGGGGCAGGGGCCGGGAGCGGGCAGCCGGTGTGGGCGGCCGGGCTGCCGCAGCCGGGAGCTCAGGAGCCCTTCCCCGGGAGTTCCTCCTGCCCGCTCCACCCGGCACTGTGGCCGCAGAGCCGTCAGCGCCCCTGAACGGGGCTGGAATCCGGCTCGCGAACGCCGAACGCGAGGCGCAGCCGGGGCTGGAAGAGGGATTCACCGAAGTCTGTGGCTGGGCCAGGGGAGCCACGTGGAGGGGTCCTTTGCTTCCGCCAAGCCACCTGGATGCCACCCAGCCCCGGAGCTCACAGCAAGTTCTGCGAAACCTGCTGAGTGGGACACAAGCCCGGTGAGCCTTGTTTCCAGGGCAAGAGAAGAATTAGGCCTCAGGATGGAGGCCCAGTTTGTTTTTCTGCTCCAGTCGCTCCTGCCAGGCCTTGCCAGCACCATGCGCAGACCAGACTGCTTCAGGCTGGAGTTGGGGTGCGTGTTCTGCTCCCCGCACCCCACCAGTGGTGGAGGAGAAGAAAGAGGGGCCGCTTCCTCTCTCCCAAGAAGAGGGGTGGTTCAGAGCTCCTGAAGATCCCGTCAGCAGCCACCATGGTGAATCCTGGGGACAGGGGCCCAGTCTGCCGTCTCCCTCTGGAGAGGCAGGCCTGAGAATTCCAGAGAAGATGGTGAAATTTTGAAGGAACTTCAGCAAGTCTTTCAAAAGTGCACGAGAAATCCAGAAGGGTTTTGGGAAAGGTTGCACCCTGCCCACACCCAGGGCCAGGCCTCCCTCTGCAGCCAGCTGCGTGAGGCTCAGTGCTTTGCGGTGGACAGCTTCGGGGCTGGGGTGGAGCAGAGCCTTGTCTCTACTCCTGAAACTAGGGGTTCTGGGTGGACATTTGGGGGAGCCGCTAAGCTCAAGTCTAGCATAATCCAAAGCCCCCTTTGGCATTAGGACTTCCTTCTTCCACTACCTTTTCCTCCTTTGATCAGAGAGGTCTCATGCGGGGCTGGGGATCTAATCGACCCTGAACTAACCCTGCACTCACCGCCCTCAGCCCTCTGCACCGCCACAGCCCCGTGCAGTCCTAAAATGAGTGAAGGTATTTTTGGAAACGGTCCCTTCCCGGGAGTCCTCAGGGTGCCCGGGTTGCAGGACGAAGGCCTTTGGGATTCACACTCCTCTCCAAAAAGTCCATGGCTCTGGTGGGCCCTGAGCAGGGGAAAGAGTAAGGGAAGGGATTCTTTTAGAGAATCTGGTTCTGGTTCGGAGCTGACTCTGTTTATGAAGCTCTGAGAAAAGGTGAGGCCACCAGGTCTGAGCTGAGAGGGCCTCCCAGTGCCCCCATCCCCACTACCCCCGTGTGGGGTTCTCTCTGCCCACAGCAGAGGAGGAAGGAGGCGGGGCCAGGAGGCAGGACCCCGCTCCCTGTGAACCTGTGAACCCAGGCTTCTGAGCGGGTCACTTCCACTCCACCAGGGCGCCTCCCAGAATCTCGGGGCGGCCCTGCAGCCTCCTCCACACCCCAAAATGTCAACAGGACTGAGGCTAAAGCAGGTTATTCCCCTGGGTCCACTGAAATACAAATTTAAATTGGAAAAGGGATTTCCCCACTAATATTTCGTCCTCAAGCCCATATATATATATATATACATACACACATACATACATATATTTAAAAATACCCCTGCCTGGCTCAAATGGTTCTCTTGGTTTCTACCCACTTGTTTTTTTTTTGCAGCAGTGAGCACAGGGTTGTACAATGACCTGCTCTTCCACCTTGATCATCTTTTTAGTGATGAACAGATACTATTTTAAAAGGAGGGGGGCCCAGGTGTGGTGGCGCAGGCCTGTAACCTAGCACTGGGGAGGCTGAGGCAGGAGGATCACTTAGAGTTTGAGGCCAGCCCAGGCTCCACAGTGAGTTCAAGGCCAGCCTGAACTGCACAGTGAGACCTTGTCTCAAAATAAATAAATAAATAGGTAGACAGGAAGTGGGTGTGCACGTGTTGAGGACCAAAAGAGCCTAAGAATCTGCTGGCTGCTCTGTGCTGGGAACCTGTGTCCCTGTCCAGGACGGAAGGGTGGGGATGAAGCTGTTCCTCTGTGCCCACTGGGTGTGTTGGGAGCCTGTGGGATGGAAAGGCCACCCAGGAAGGCCCAGGGTCCCTCTCTCTGCCCTCTTCGCGGTCACCAGACATTCTACCTCCATCACCCCAGCCCCAGCTCAGCCCTCCCACCTGCCCCCCGCAAAAGGAGGCTGCCGTGAGAAACCGGGGCCATCTTTGCATCTCATTTACATAAATATTTATTAATCATCATTAAACTGAACAGAAACACGCAATGCACTTCGGGTGTCCGACGGGAGTTTCATCTTCACTACAAGAGGAAGGTAAAATTGCGTGTGTGTTGGTGAGTGTGTGGGTGTGTCGCCTGTGGGTTTGCATTTTTTTGCATCGTGTGTTTGGATGCCTGATGCCCTGCCTCGGGTGGGGTGAGGGTCACCTTGTGCATCCCTTTTGGGAGAAGTTGCAGAAGGGGCCCCCACATTCCCCAGCCACCTGCTAGCCCAAGCCGGGAGGACACCGAGGACCCAAACCGCTCTCCAGCCGCCGGCAGTCGCAGGTTGCCTGGCACCCGCCCGGGCGGGCGCGGTCCGGGCAGGGGCGGAGCTGCCCCACGTCTCGTCCCCTTGGCCTCACCCCAAGAGGGGACAGAGGAGCCCGCAGGGAGGAAGCGACAGGGCGCGCAGCCCCCTGTCCCGGGACGCCCGCGCCGGCCTGCGTGTTCGTGCGGTGTGGGGTGCGTGTGTGTCGCTCATGCAAACCCTCCCTCCCCAAACTGACCCCCCAACAGTTTGCCATTCCATACAAATTTGGAAACAGGTTTTTAAAAAACAGTATGACGTACAACGGGGACGGGGCAGGGGAGGGCAGTGGCACTGGGGCCCCAAATCTCCGAGTCATTGATTGTAAGAACCTGGGGAGGGGAGGGGGCGGCGGGGCCCCCACGTCACCAAAGTGCACAGATCCGCCTTGGCGGGCGCCCCGGGCCGGGCCGGGCCGCTAGGCTCAGTCAGAACCTCCTTGCATAGATATTTGTGTCTTTTTTATTATTATTATTATTGGTAGTAGTTTTTTGTTTTTGTTTTTTTGTTTTGCCTTTTATTGCTTCTAAAAGTTCTTACTGCGTTTTCTCTCCGATCCGGACTCTGCGTTCGGCCTTCGTCGCCTCTTAGCTTTTTTTGTATGTATGTTTGTTTGCTTGTTTGTTTTTAAAAAAAGGAAAAGAGTTACAAATTATCTTGGCCTCTTTCCTCTCAATACGCATCCCCTCCCGCCAAAATGAAAATTGCAAAACGCGGAGATTCAGGTTAGGGGGCGGGAAGGCGCTCCAGGCTTGCGCTCGGCCCTCTGCTAGAAAGAGGGGGCGCCTGGCCTAGGCAGCTTGGGGTCTTTTTTAAAATAATAACGGGAGGGGAAAAGCGCACCCACCCCCAACTGCCCCCTCGACAACGCATTTGGGCCTGCAGGGAGGAGGGAGGAGAAACCGAGAGAAGGGATTGGCAAGGGGGGTCTCCGAGGAGCACACGGATAGAGGTCCCTGCAGGCGCACTCTCTGGGCGAAGGGAGCCCGGAGCCCCTGGGGAGAGAAGGCGAGTCCCCCGGGAGGAAGCGAAGCCCGGAAGGCCAGGCCACCCACAGCTACGGACCGCGCTGCCCTGGAGCGCGCAGGCGACGCCTCGCTCCTGGCGCCCGGTGCCCTGTGCGCGCCCGAGGTCGGGGAGCCCCTGCCCTGGGGGGGCTGGAGCGAAGGGGCGGGCAAAGGCGAAAGAAGAAAAAGAGGGCCCGGCTCCAGGTCTCAGTTATGGAAAAACGCGTTGAGCTCCTCGTACATGGGGCCCCGGTCGTGGTGCAGGTGCATGTCGTAGGAGAGCAGGTTCTCGGAGTGCACGCCCCCGCGCACGGCCGCCGAGCCGAACACCAGCCCGTGGCCGCCGGGCCGCGAGCCGGGGAGCGCCGAGTAGTGCATAGAGTAGTGGTAGCTCTTCTCGTGGTCGGGCGACGAGTCCTGCTTGAGCGAGAAGTTGCCGTTGAGGCAGAGCGGGGGGCTGAGCGGGCCCTCGTACTCCGAGCTGTTGTAGTCCGGGCTCGCGCCGCCGCCGCCCGCCGCCGCGTACAGCGTCTCGTAGGCGGCCGCGCAGTAGCCGTGGGTCCGCAGGGCGT